TTACCGTGCGCGCGAGGGCGTCGCCGGTCAACATTGGGCTACAAAATCTTAACACGGCCGCGACCGCGCTAGCTGCCACCGTGGATCATTCTGTGGGACGTGGGGGTAATCCCGCCAACAGTTGGATTCGAAGCTCTGGGGGTCAAAGGTGCAAAGGTCCAACAGAGGTGTAAAATAAAGGCGGAACATTGCACTCTTGAAGCCACAGGTATGAGGGAGGGAAATCGCAGAATTGCGCCACAAATCTAAACGGCTACGACCTTAGTCTTGCTGAATATCGATGTAAGCAACATGGTAGGGAATGCCATCACTGTGGCGCGACTGTGCCTCTGAAGATATGGAGGGTGCACAGGGTCAAGAGGCAACGGGCAGCAGGCAGATTTAGCCACATTTCTGCAGGACATGGTCTGACGGCAGGCCCCCAAGTTGCCCAGAACAGAAGCCGTTTGTCCCCTCGCAAGGGCGGTGACCTAGCCATTTTTAATGGCTCTGTATTGAAAGACCCATGAACAATGTGCTTCCGACCTCGACTTGCGAAGACGTAAGTGTCTCGATAACCTTTTGACGCCTGGAAAGGAGGGATAAACATGGATTGTTAACTGTTTACTGCGTGTAGAAAAGAATTGACGTGCTGGCGTTGCTAGTAGAGGACTATACCACCTGGATGCTAGTTAGCCTACAATGTCACAGCTTCGAAATTTCAAATTCAAAAGCTAAATTTGCCTGGAAAGAACAAGGTTATTGCTCCCTTAAACGTATTCATGTTACTTGCATTCTGTACTGTAGCGTGTAAGTATGCCACTTGCCAGTGGCCGACAGCCAGTGCCATGTTGGTGGTGATAGTGATGGTGGTAGTTTTTGCCTGCAATTAATTAGTACGAGGTGCAAGCCTGCTATTGGGCAGCCTTAGGAGGGTTAAACATTGATATGTTTCTCACTGCGTTTGGCGAGTACCTGTGGTTGTGGAACGCTCCCATTTTACAGTGAAATTCCACACATAACTCTTACTTGAACAATATATGCTTACTTAGGAGATAATGAGATGAGTTATATATGAGATTCTGTAGTGTACATTATGAATAGTTGGAATAGTCACTAGCACTCAAATAATTACCCAGGAGTGAGGCTGTGGATTTCCCAGACTTAATTTTCTCATCAAATTTTGGCACCAATATAGACGCAAATGTGTACGTTCTTAAGCTTATTCGGTCCACTAATCACTGGCCTACCTTGTTTTGTTTTTGTTTTAATAGGGTTAGGGTCACAATGCACCATAAAACATTAGTTTCAGGCACGCGATTTTTATTAACCAATGGGATTTGGGAGTTATGCAGAATGCAGAAGGTTGCTGAAATGATGTGTACGCAACTGCGTATCTGCATATCTGCGCCTAACAAAGGTGTCACTACGCACAACTTAAATGTTACGTTTATAACCGTAGCAACATTCCTCAGATGAGCCCAGACGCTCTGCGGCTCTTGTTATCTTCTTTCGTTCTTTTTTTTATTTATTATTTTATTTTTAGCTCATCTGACATAGTCAGATGCAGCTAGCTTGTAGAATCGCATGATTGTCCGTCCATCCGGCCGTCCGTCCATGCGTGCGTCAACAGTTGGGCACAAATCTTAACCGCTCAACGTACAGTCACGATATTCGGGACGTCGGGTGGGATCGTGAAAAGAACTCGGGATGACAAATTTGGGGATCAAAGGTCAAGATGTGTAAATGGAGGGGGAATATATTTCCCCCTTAACTTAAGGTATAGGGGGAAATACGAAATTGCGGCACAAATCTTAACGGCTCGACCTATGCTCTTAATATTCGGTGTATAGTGTGATGGGCAGGAAACCCATCACTAGTAAGAAATTGGAGGTCACAGGTAAAAGGGCAGTGGGGCACAGGGCAGATTTTAGACATTTTCTGAGGACATGGTCTGACGGAGCGATTGAAAAACGTTTTTGCTTCAGCGGTGACCTAGCATTTTTGTGGCTTTATTGAAAGGACCATGAAATGTACTTTCTGCTGACATGCGAAGAGTAAGTGTCGGATAACCTTTTGACCCTCAAGAGGAGGGTTAAACATGGATTTGTTTACTGTTAGAAAGAATTTGACTGCCTAGTTTGCTAGTAGAATCTATACATGCCTGGATGTATGAGGCTATACAATGTCACAGTGAAATTTTAAAAGCTAAATTTGGTTGAAGAAGGTTTATGCTCCTTAAATCGTATAATTTCTATGGCATTCTGTACTGTCAGTGTGTTACATGTGACTTATGCCACTGCCAGTGGCCACTGCCAGTGCATGTAGTGGTGATAGTACTGTGTAGTTTTTGCCTGCGTTAATTAGTTACAGGTGGCATGCAGCTCTCTATTTCAGTCTGTAGGCTTGCGTAGGTAAATGGATGAGTGCTTACCTATTCTGTCTTGCAAATAGTTGTTGCTACGACGTACGATGGGAGCTTCCGTCTTTAATCTTAAGACACTTAACTGTACGCGCCATCTCGTGGCAACTTTCATAACGATCCCAACGAACATTCCTTTGAGAAGGTTCCTGATACCATCCCTGTGTTTTCCACTGTTTCGGCGCGTATGCAGGGGTCGAAATTAGCGGTATCCCGATATCCGCGGGATACCAGATTCTTGTGCGGGATACCAGATTTCAATGCTTGGTATCCCGCCGGGATAGTAAAAAAAAAATCGTCATAATCGGGATAGTGGTTGTTGAGTTATCAACTTTATACGGCGAGAGCGCGAGTGCGCGCCCTTAGTTACTAATTTACTATGCCACACTAGCGTTTT